CTGATAAGATCACGAATTCTATATCACTAGCAAGGGCTAGAAATAGTACAAACGCAACATTTCGAAAAGGGATAAATATCAGAATTTTCTCTGACGAAATAAACAACGTGAAACTTTCAATATTCGGCTCAACATTATGGTCAGACCACAAGCGTCCAATCAACATTATAATATTTCGTGAAAAACCTATCCTGAAACTTGCCGAAGCAGGTAGAAAAATTCGTGGTTTGAAAATATCTGGGACGAACTGACAGCAATGGAGGTAGATCGCAGTTATCAGAACAACAGGGATTACACATCCTGCTGATTATCACACAGAATAATCAGCTATCAGAAAAGGAAAGCAGAATTACAGCTTTATGAGATGCTCGCGTCAGAGGACCCAATCTAGTATGGTCGTACCAGAACATCATACGGTCCTGGTTGTTCGAAAGTCAGTGACTTGCTACCCGTTTCTGGATTTGCTGCGCCCAAGCAATCGTGAGATAAATTTAATGCTCAAGGAAATTAACGGTTAAAACAAAGGTTAGCCGGACCTCCGTCATTTGAGGCCTATCTCATTTTCACAGTGCCGCTGAGACTGACTGACCTGCAATCACATTAGACTAGACACTGAACAGGAATCAGGGGAAAATGACGACACACTTCTGATGAGTAACATATCATACTATTTCAATTCAAACATTCCGATGACTGCACATTTATCAGGGGATTAACCAATTACTTATGAATTTATTTCCTATATGCCACAACGCTGTTGTTTCTCTACATGGCCAAAACGTCGCAGTACGTAAAATTTATCATAAGGGAAAACGGATATCAAGCAACGGCTAACTTAAACGGCTAACCATTCGCATTAAAATGATTAACATGATAAACAACGTGATTACTCTTTTTAAAAGGGGAAGATCATCACATAACCCAAGTACCGATTACCGAAACATGAACGGAAGTTTACTCACTCTCAGGAGTATAAAATTACGACTTTCTTCTAGAGAGTTCTGCTGAGAAAATAATCAAGTCATCAATCCTGATACGAACAATGATGCGTTTGACTGAAGAAAGAAGGACAAGCCGATTATACCATTTACG